AGCTAAGATGCATCTTTTTCAAAATTGGCTGTAAATTTTTAGGTTTACAGTTGAATTGTTACAGTTATATAATATTGTACTCAGTATAAACCCTATAATACATAAAATTAAATGAGGTTTTACCTTTAAAAAAAGATCTCAATTTCATTATTAAATAAATAATAAACTGGAAAAAAAGATAAAATTAGGGTTAACTTTGTCATACAATGCCAAGGAGGAAAAATTTGGTGAGGTTAATTTGTCGTGAAAAACATGAGGAACCCACCTGCTTCCTCCCAGGTGGAGGCTAGAGCAATATGGCCAGCCGAGGAACAACCAGGAGACTGTCTGGGCCTTAAACACCTCCTTTTCAAGTCACAAGATGGAATAGGCTAGTCTCAGGCTACCATTACTTCATAACTTAGGAAAGAGAAGACAGTATAGTCAGTTATTCAGTTAAAATATACACTTGGGGCTTGGGAGATGGCTCAGTAGGTAGGAGCACTTGCTGTGCAAGCATGAGGACCTGAGTTCAGATCCCCAGTACCCATGTAAAGAGCCAGGTGTGGTTACCTGTACCTGTATCCAGAGCTCTGGGGGAATGAGAAGATAGGCAGATTGCTGGGGTTTATTGGCCCCATTGGTTAGGAGGTGTTCTTCAGCAAGTTGTTTGACCACTGCCATGCCAGGCCAGTACAACTCTCATGATTCTGACTTTACAGGGCCTTTAATGAACAACTGACTTCTTTCTCCAATGTCCAGAAGAGATGTTTTGCAATAGCCTCCCAGCCCTGAGATTAGCTGATGATTGTGAGACAGAGCAGAGATGCTAAGGAGTTCCTGTCCCTAAATCTTGCTGAAAGTTTCATTTGAACTCCTTGCCTGTGACCTAAGGCTACCGCCCTGCTGTCATGAACAGCAGACAGGACCTCACAGGGGCTTCTCTAGGCACAGCCATCCTGACAGTCACCCTTTGCTCTTTCTTGTCCCATGTCTTACCAGTGAAGCAAACAACACAGGTTGGGCCTACGCGTGGATCCCATCTCCTCTTTCTCATTGCGTAGAAAGCAAGATGCTTATGCATAGGGGCTTTACAATGTCACTTTGAGGTGGAGTAGGTAGAAACTGTCATTACTACAGAGAAGATAAAGAAAATGAACCTCAGAAAGAATTCAGTGTGAGGAAAATTAGCCAACCATGAGTTACATGTTAATTACTCATGTTATAGCTCTCAATACAGATCTGTATGCAGGTTTTGCCCCACTCCCCAACCCCTCCACACCCACACCAGCAATTAGTTCTGCAATGATACCATTACAGTGTATCCTATAATTTAATTAACAAAATTATAGGCACTATCTAACTGGAGATAGACTGAAGGCTCAGTCCCTAAGAATAAAACCCTCCAAACACGCACAAAGCCAATTACAAGCCACAGAAAGTTCCATCTGTGCTTCTGATTGACCAATTATAAAGCAGGGTTCTCATGATGCTCTCCTTGGGGTTCATTAATTTACTTTAGCAACTCACAGAACTCAGGGAAATACATTTATTGGCTTATTATAAAGGACCGTACAAAGGGTACAGATAAAGCAATGCATAGGGTGAGTTTTAGGTGAAGGGATACAGTTTCCCTCCATCTCTGGGAGTACAGCAGTCAGGAATCTCCACATGGTCTGCTATTCTGAAACTCTCTGAACCCTGTCCTTTGGTCTTTTCATGGAGACTTCATTGCATAGGCATAATTAAAGCATGGGCAAACATGTAGAAATGTATTTGGACAAAGGATATAAGCTAATGTTAATAAATTGAGAGGAAATTCAACAAGGCTATCTCTTCAATTTGTCAAGTCTGTACAGCATTGCTTCTTGGGCATGGGGTAAGACATTTTCCTAGACAGAGCTTATGATTTACTGAATCAGATGGGTCAGACAATTTCTTCATGGCCAGTGTTAACACTGAAAGATAGGAAAAATTAGAGCTTCTGTAACCCAGCATGAGAAGGGGTATTTTAGTGCTTATGGCCTGCCTTGGACAGGCAGCTGTGAGCCAACAACCATGGATAACAGTAAAGTATATGCATATTATAACATCACTATACTGTATTGAAATTAAGTAAAAACTCAGCCAGCAAACTATTTTTACTGTGTTTTACTCAAATATGAAGCAGTCCTACAGTTCTACAGCATGAAACTTTGTTTCTTTCGTATCGGAGGCTGCATTTCTTGGTTTTAATTGTTTTTTTCTTTCCACAGATACAGAGTCATGTGGCTTTGTAGTGTATCAAAACAGCAAGCTTTTCCAATCAAAAACTTTCACACCTACATCAGATTCCAGTCAAAAAATTATCTCAGGCAAGATAAATACAATGGCACAAGATCCGAAAGTTTCTGTTCAAATGGCATTTAATCCCAGTGTGAGTTTTCCCATGAATGAAAATAAAACTTGTGGCTGCTCCTAATACAAAAGCAGAGAAATTGGATACATGAACTCCATAGACAGTATCTTTGAGAGGGATTTTTTAAAGTAATCATTAAAATCTTTATCTCACCTTTTTTTGTCAAACTAAATAGAAAGCTAACTAATTTGGATTTTGTATCCTTCTATGCTTTTGTTGGTTAGTTAGCTGTTTAGTTTGTTTTTCCGACAGATGCTTGCTCTCTAGCTCTGGCTGGCTTTAAACTTGCAGCAGTCCTCCTTCCCCAGCCTCACAATTACCAGGATTATAGCTGTGTGCTATCACACTTGGTATTTTTATACACTTATTCTCCCCTCAGTCTATAAAAATCATGTTAATACTTCATATATACTTATTTCTCTTGGGCTATCTTATCCTGTTAGATGGTCTTCTATCTAAGCATTTAAAATATATACACATATTTATACAGAACCCCAATAATTAAAGAAGAGGTCATGAAATAGACAGTGGAAGGGGGCATGGAAAAGTTGAAGTGGGAGGAGTGGAAATAGGGTAAATGCAGTATTCAAGTATGAATTTCTCCAAATTTAAAAAAGAAAAAGAAAAAACCATTAACAATTGTTATGTCTCATCAATTCACAGTACAACCAAAGAGAATTACAACTTAACTCCTATTCCTGTGTCTACTGGAACTTTTCAACGAACGACTGGGACACATTCGGCTGTCACAAAAATGGGAGCATTGAAGGATTCCTCGGTTGCCATTGTAACCACACTACTAGCTTTGCTGTATTGATGGTAAGAATGTGCATACAGATGGTAACAATCTTTCTGGACAAGGACTGTCCTTATATACAATTCTAGAAATGCAAACTGGAATGACTTCAGAGTGTGATTTACATAGAATTTCAGCTGAGATTAAATAGAAAACTGAGGGGAAAAATTCATCAGCATGAAAAGGGAAGTACTGAAAGTACCAGACAGAGGTTTTCTTACAGTGTGGTCTTAGAATAGAAATAGGTGAATTCAAATTAGCACTGTGTTGTTCTTATGCGTGAAAATAAAGCCTATATGTGAACTAAAATCTTACAGACCTCACTAGAGTCTGTTACGGAGAAGTGCTGTTACGGAAACATTTTCAGTCCATATTTAGCCCTATGTAGACAGTTTAATTACTGAAAATATTTTCAAATGGCATTGTCCACATTACTGTTTTTGCTAGAAGGTGAAAAGCAAATAGTTTTTGAACTCAATTTTCCCATCGTTCCACTCTCCCTTCCTTGATCCTTTTAATACACAGCTACCCTTTGCAAGGCACAGGTAACAGTTCTGAAATCCAGCTGTAAAATGGTCTCCGATAGTTCTTCCACTGGCCCTTTCAAGAAGAAAGTCTACTCTATGTTCCATTTTCAGAAACTATTCTTTAAATTATTTTATGTGTATGAGTGTATTACCTGTATGTATGTAACTGCGCCCATGTCATGCAGTGCCCACAGAGGTCAGAAGATGACTTTGAATTACCCTGGAACTGGAGTTAGGGAACATTGTTAGCCTCCATGTGGGTGTTGGGAATTGAACCAGATCCTCTGTAAGAGCAGTCAGTGCTCTTAACCACAGAGCCATCTCTCCAGCTGCAGAAACTATTCTAAGAAAACAAAAATGTTAGATTGGATATGTGATGAAATGAAGGATACATAGAATGTCTTCCTGTTAATAGGCTATAAATTTTATAAATGCCCCCGGGACAAGCAGATGTCAATCAGCAGGATGTGATGCAACCATGCTTAGGACAGAAATCAGCAGAAGACATTGATAGAGTGTACATGATCTGAGAATAGAACTTTCTTTAAAAATAACTTTTTACGATAATTACAGCTGCCTCACTTTAATTGCAAATTGCTCTTATTTTAATTGATTTTATTACTTTATACATAATCCTATAATGTTAAAGAAACATCTATGATTTTGTGCAATAGACAAACATAATATTATTTAGCACATTTAACAGCTCACCTCTGGAGAAGAGATAGATTACCAACAGAAGGGCATGGCATAGGATATCTTGCCATTAAGAGAAATGCATGCTTTTTATTAGGCTTCTACATCATCATGACTTTCATATTTTGTAAATGAGATTCATTGTTTTTCTACTTTTGTGTGTTTGTGTGTTCTAGTATTTTCTTTTTATTTTATGTCATTTTTTTCAATGAAATGAAACATTGGTTCTTTATAAGATTAACAAGCTTGACAAAACTTTAGTCAAATTAATAAAAGAGATGACCCAAGTTAAATTTAGAAATGAAAGAGAAACATTACAACAGATTATGATTATTTGGGGGGAAATGTGAATTTTTTCCAGTTAATTATTTATTTAATAACCACATACTTAGAAGAAGCATTTCATTACAACAGCATTGACATATTCAATGACAATTTTCTGAGCTAAGATGCATCTTTTTCAAAATTGGCTGTAAATTTTTAGGTTTACAATTGAATTATTACAGTTATACAATATTTTACTCAGTATAAACCCTATAAGACATAAAATTAAATGAGGTTTTAACCTTTAAAAAAGATTCGTAATTACGATCCTGTTCCCACCAAAGAAAATGTTTTTTGAAGCTTTTGAGAAGTCCATTTCAATGTCAGTTTGTTCAGTTTGCCTTTTGGTCTATTATTATTTTTAATCATTATTTCTTTTAATTTTTAATGACTACATGATTAGAGGAAGCATTTCACTACAAATTTAACATATTCAGTAACATACTCCAGAGCAAGAGTACATCTCTTTCACAAGTGGGTGCAAGTTTCTAGGTTCACAGTTGAGTTAATACAGTTATACAATATTGAACTCAGTATAAGTACTGTAAGACATAAAATTGTAGCAGGGATATCAGAATATAAGGGCTCTAGTAGGGGGAAGGAGACTATGGGAGGGTGCCAACTGGGAAATGGGTGTATAGTCGAATAAGATGGTTTGGGATATTCTCTGTGATACACACACATACACACACACACACACACACACAAATCAACAAATTTTTTTAATGTATTATATTTGAGGAGGAAGCATGGAAATTTACATCATACTAATTAGTAGAGGCACCAAATATTACCATTGAAATACACCCGATGACTTCATAGACATACACAGGCGCTAAGGGTCCAAGTACAACCGAGTATGACTAGTAATAATCAGATGCATACAGATTAGAGATGCATGCACCAACATCTCAGTGTTAGTAGCAAAAACAATGAGTCTTTCTGCACAAAACAATATATTCTAAAATGAAATGGAAATCTTTTTTAAATGTTTTTCTACTTTTAACAGTTTAAAAACTCAGAAAAGTTCAGATAAACACAAAAAAACTTATGATAGATAGAGAGATAGATAGATAGATAGATAGATAGATAGATAGATGATAGATAGATAGATTATAGATATCTTCATGTTTCAAAGGATATATATTCATATGGAATATTCTATTTTTTACATTTATGTATTTATTGTGTGGGTGTGCACATGCCATAGTATGTGTGTAGATGCCAGATGACAACTTGGGAGAGTCAGTTCTCTTCCTCTACGAGGTAAGTTCTGTGAATGGAACTCAGGTTTTCAGCCTTGGTGGCAAGTGCCCTTACCCACTGAGCCATCTCCTTGGTCCCCTGGAATATACTTTTACATGTATATTTATGAATGTACTGGGATATATATATATATATATATATAACAGAAATAAGACCTATTTTTTAGAAATTAGCAGAATTATGTGAACATCTTTCATATTGACAAAATTTCTGCAATGTTATCTTAGTAAAGTAGCTTAGATGTGCTCAGTAACACAAAATAATGTCACTAATAAATAAAATAATGCTAGGCAATTTAGATCTAATATAAACAACTCTGTCCTGTAGACACTGAATAAAAGTATGTGTATGTGCATATAAGTTGGATTGTTTTAAAGACTATGCAAACTATTACAGATAATGAATTTACTTCATTTAAAATATATCAAATGCTTTATAAAAAGAAGACATATCTGGCAACTATCTGGTTATTTTGACCAATATGAGTTTGATATTGAACTTCATTAATATTTTTAAATGGGTGAACCAATATATTTAAAAATCAATGTCAACTTACTTTTTCAGACTTTTAAAAAGAATTATCAGTATCCCCAATCACTAGACGTACTGTCCACTATTGGGTGTGCCCTGTCCATTGCTGGTCTGGCTCTGACGATCATATTTCAGATTGTCACCAGGTAAGAGGGGAAGGAGGTGCTTTTCTTAAGAAAAATCTCTATTCTGATTATAATTGATTGGGTATATTCTCACCAGTTAGTTTCTCTAACCAAGAAGAAAACTCAGTTCAAGATACTCAAGATACTCAGAGAGACTGAGGGATATACACAAATAAGTATAAAATTATAAACATGAGAAGTGCTTTGACAATAAAATTAATGTGATCCCATAACTCATAAATCCTGTAATTCTTCAATGCTGAGTAGAACATGTATAACAATTTGGATTGTACAAGAACATTGTTGAAGGGTTAATTTTTGAAAATAATTTTTATTTTCTGCATATGAATGCCTTGTCTATCTGCATGTATTGTAAGTGCACCACATGCATAAAATGCCTGCAGAGACCAGAAGAGAGCATCAGATCCCTGGAAGTGGAATTACAGACTAAATTACATCCATATGGCTCCTGGCTGCCGTATGGATGTAGGAATCAAGCCCTGGTCCTTTGCAAGTGTAGCCAGTGCTCTTGACTGCTGAGCCATCTCTGCAGTTCTGAAAATAAAATTTAAAATATGCAAAGTTTCAAATGGTGAAATTTTGAAAGTTATTTAATTTCATATGTTTTTGTTTTTGAGAAAAACTTTAATCTTTAAATAACTACCTATAAACATATTTCTTTTCACCTTCTTCACTGAAGGCCCAATTCTGTATCCTACTTGAGGTGGTGTTCTTACAAGCTGCATTTTTAGCAACCTGTATCTCTTAAGTGTGTTACTAGTTTACTGATAGATTTAGAAAATACATTAGCAGGACAATTTATGAAGGTTTAAGGAACTCCTCTGACTTCCTTGTCACCATTGCCTTGTTTTGCTCTCAGCTCTGGTTCCCCAGGGCTGTGTACCACATGTAGCCCATAGAAAAGCTTTATCTGTAGAATAAACTGATCTACTGAATCAATGTCCCAATCTCATTCTCTCTAACTCAAGATCTCACAAGATGAATTAATCATTCCTTCAGAAACATTTCCCCTCACCAATTATTCTAAATACTGTTCTTAGACATGTGGAGCCAGATTTTAATTATAAAGATGTTATTTACAAATTTTAGTCTTACTTTAATTAAAAATAAAAACTCTAAAGAAATATTGGTGACTGATTACTTCTGGGTGAGGAAGAGCTGATCTTCCTAAAGTGAGAGACTCTACATAGGCTGACTAGACCTCAGTAGATGAACTTGCACTGAGGGATGTCTGGAGATACTAACTTGACACAATAGGCCTTAATACAAATGACAGAATGTATGAGTTCCAGTGTGGGGGCTATGGGAGGGTGCCAGTGGGGGAGGGCGTATAAAGATAATTAAGATTGGGGGCTAGAGAGATGGCTCAGCGGTTAAGAGCACTGACTGCTCTTGCAGAGGACCAAGGTTCGATTCCCAGCACCCGCATGGTGGCTACATTCTGTCCTTAACTCCAGCTCCAGGGGAATCTGAAACCCTCTGCTGATCTTTGAGGCATTGCATGACATGGGTGCACTCACATACATGCAGGCAATACACTTATACACATAAAATAAAAATAATAAGTAAAATATTTTTAAAAGATAATTCAGATTGATTGAGATGTTCTGTATGAAATATGCAAAAATTCAATACAATTTTTTAAAATTTTTAAAAAACATAATCTGTAAAGTTGGAAGAGTACTGAATATCCTTATAAACCTCACCTATATTTGCCAATTATTTTCATCCATTTTTATTTATTTATTTTTTTAATACATCTTAATCAAAATTAGACACACCTTCCTCTCCCCCTAATGTGTCTCCTATCAATTTCAGGTATTCTGTCATATATGTTAAGTCCTATCTGGACAAGCTGTACAACTCTGTACCCAGATTTCTCTCGGTGCAAGTTCATTCACTAGAATCTAGTCAGTCTATCTAGAGTAACTCCCTTAAAGAAGATCTACTCTCCCTCATTCCACAGTAGTCATTTTTCCAGTGGTTCCTTGGCTATGGTTGGGGCTTGCTGCCCATTTCCCCAGTTCTATGCTGGATTTTGGTCTGATTGAGTCTGCATGTGTTTTGTACATGCTGTCACCACTGTTGCAAGTTTATGAGCAAGTTCCCAAAGGCCTGAAAGCCTCTATTCCCTTATATACATGCATCGACCCTGTTTCTTACAATCTTTCCATTTCCTATTCCACAATGGTCCTTGAGCCATGGGTGGATGACATTTAGTATAGGAGACCTATCCAGGGTCATGGACTCTACCGTTTCTTATTCTCTAAAAATTAGGCAGTTATGGCTTTCTGTATGCATCACACTCTGTGTATGAGGAAGCTTTGCTGTTGAGGATTGAAGAATATATTAATATTCTCTCTACCCCCTGTTTAATGAGCCTTAAGTGTAGAGATTTCACTGTAGATGTATCACTTAGGGCTAGGCATCTCTTAGACATATATTCTCTGTGTGTGACCAGTTGTGGAACTCTGTAATAGCCTCCATCTGTTTCAAAAAGAGAGTTCTTTCTTGAGTGGTATATGATATACTTTGTAAATATAGGGCTCCATATTTACCATAGAGTAAGAAATTTCATTTGTCTAGAGATAGGACAGAGATAGGGTTTTTCCTCTGGGATTTATGACCTCTCTGGCCATGTGTATTTGGCTATATTTACAGTGCCATACATGAGTTCTCTCTCATTGAGAGGGATTTAAGTCCAATTAGATAGATGTTGATTACTGCCTAGATGAAAGTCCCACTACTGTCCCAATATAGATAATTTACTGTGCCAGTCATGTGGTTATAGACTTTGCAGCTGGGATGGACCATTGATTGATTTTCTCCATTAGCAGTTTGCATAGTATCCTCTAGAACTATAACAGCTAGTTTCAGGGAGAAGGGTTCCAGGTCAGTTCCAGCTCCATTGCTCCAAGTCCCATGTCCAACCTATGTTCTGTCTTACCTGCAAGTTCTTGGAGGTAATCAAAGGCTCTGACATAGCCTATGTTATTTTAGGAGTCTCTTGTACTACTCTGACCAACAACCCAAAGGATAGTTTTTCCTGTCTGGCACTGTTTTTCATTATGTAACCTTCAGGTATACACATGCATTCATGCTTAGATATTGTGTGTGTGTTTTTAAGGGAGGGGTGAGTTAATATATTTCCCTCTGCTTTTATGCCACTTAAAGGTTTATATAGTCTCTCTCTCTCTCTCTCTCTCTCTCTCTCTGTCTAACCTTCCTATTCTCTCCCCAGTTTAAGTACACTTATATTCCCCTTGATAATACCTGTCTCCTATTATGACCCCTCTCTTTAGTTCCTTATTCTCCTTTACCCCCATGGTTCCTTGTATGCCCTTCACTCCTCCCCAGCTGATTACCCCAATTTTCCCCATTTCCCCCTTGATAACATGTTTCCTCTTATCTTCCTGTGTCAGGCTCTTTCTTTCCCTTTATCTCCACACATCCTTTCCATTCTCCTCGCTCCTAATGGTACATCAGGATATATACTCTCATATAAGGGATTGGTGCTAAGATCTGCACCATACATATCTTGCTTTTCTGAGTCTCTGTCATTTCACTTAGTATAGCAGTTGCTAGTTCCATCCATTTACCTGCAAATTTCATAATCTGATCATTCCTTACTACTTATTAGGACTCCATTTTGTAAATGAACCATATTTTCATTATCCATTCATCAGTTGAAGGACATTTAGGGTGTTTCCATTTCTTAGCTATTGTAAAAAGAGCAGCAACAAACATGGATGTACAAGTGTCTCTATAGTAGAATGAGTCCTTTGGGTATATGCCAAGGAGTGGTATAACAGATCACACACTAGGTTCATTTTTATTTTTTTTAAGAGTCCTCCACACTGCTTTCCATAGTGGTTGCACAAGTTTGCAGACTCACCACCAGTGAAAATGTTCCCCTTCCTCTACATCCTTGCCAGCATTCAGTGCCTTTTGTTCTCTTGATCTTAGCCAGACTGACTGAGGTAAGATGAAATCTTAAGGTGGTTTTATTTGCATTTCTCTAATTACTAAGGATGTTGAGTACTTTTGAAAGTGTTTTTAGCAATTTTTATTTTTCTTTTGAGAACTATCTGTTCAAGATCTTAGCCCATATTTTTATTGGGTTTATTTATTTATTTATTTATTTATTTATTTATATTTTGGTTTTTGAGTTCTTTGCATATTCTGGATATTAGTCCTCTGTTGGATGTGTAGGGGGTGAAGATTTTCTCCTACTCACTAGGTTTCCTCTTCAGTTCCTTGGTTGTTTCTATTTCTGTACAGAAGCTTTTCATTCAATGAGTTCCCACTTGTCAACTGTGGAACTTTATGCCTGAGCAATTGATGTTTGAGTTAGAAAGTCCTTTCCAACATCTACATTTTGTATGGATTTGACTTTAGTGCAGAGTGAAAGAAAAGGGTCCATTTTGATTCATCTACAGGTGGAGATTCAGTTTTGCCAGCACCAGTTGTTGAAGATGCTCTCTTTCCTCCAATATGTGTTCTTGGAACCTTTGTCATATATTAGCTGGCTAAAATGCACGCACTCATCTTTGGTTCTTCTATTAGGTCCCATTGATCTATGTGTCTGTTTTTGTGCAAGCACCATGATGTTTTTATGACTATAGCACTATGATATAGTTTTAGATATGGTATGGTGATCTCCAAAGCATTGCTTTTTTTGCCCAAGATTGCTTTAGCTATCTGGGGTCTTTTGTGATTCCAGGTGAATTTTAGGATGGTTCTTTCTAGCTCTGTGAAGAATGTTGTGGGGATTTTGATTCACATTGCATTGAATCTGTAGATTGCTTTCGGTAGGATTGTCATTTTCACAACATTAATTCTACCAATCCATGAGCATTATAGGTGCTTCCATATCCTGGCCGTATCTTCTCTGTTTCTTTAAATATTTTAAATTTTCATTGTAGAGATCTTTAATGTCTTTGGCCAGGTTTATTCCTAGATATTTCATTTTTTTAAGCTGTTGTGTATGAGAGGGTTTCCATGAATTCTTTCTCTAATTGCTTGTTATTGGTATATAGAAAAGCTACTGATATTTGTAAGTTGATTTTGCAACCTGCCACTTTGCTGAAAGTATTGGTCATTTCTATAAGTTTTCTGGTGGAAATTTGGAATCTCTTATGTATAATATCATATCATCTGCAGATAGTGATAATTTGATCTCTTCTTTTCCAATTAATACTTCTTTAATTTCCTTCTATTGTCTTATTTCTCGGGGAAGTGTTTCAAGCACTGTGTTGAAAAGGAGTGGAGATGGAGCACAGTTTTGTCTGGTTCCGGATTTTAATAGGAATGCTTCCAGTTCTTTTTCCATTTAGAATGATATTGACTGTGGGTTTGTTGTATATAGCTTTAATTATGTTGAGGTATGTTCACTCCAGTCCAATTCCCTCTAGAACTTTTAATGTGAATGCATGCTGAATTTTGTCAAAGGTCTTTATGTATATATTGAGATGGCCATGTGGTTTCTGTCTTTAAGTCCATTTGTATGATTTACTACATTCATTGAGTTATATATATTGAACCATCCCTAGATCTCTGGAATAAAGCTGATTTGATCATGGTGGATGATCTTTTTGACATGTGTCTGTATGTGGTTTGTGATTATTTTGTTGAGAATCTTTGTGTCTATGTTCATTAAGGATATGGGCCTGTAGTTTTCTTTTTTGTTGTGTTTTCACCTGGTTTTGGTATTAGAGTGATACTGGCTTCATAGAAGGAGTTTGGGAGTTATTCCTCTATCTTTTTGAATCAGTGGTTATAGATTTTCTTTGAATGTCTTGTAGAATTTTGCTGTGAATCCATCTGAGCCTGGGCTTTTTTTAGTTGTGAGCTTTTCTATTGATGTTTCAATTTCCTTATTTATTATGGGTCTGTTTAAGCTGTTGATATCTTCTTGTTTTAACTTTGGTTGTTTCCATGAATTTATAAATTCATCCATTTCTTCTAGATTTTTAAATTTAATATAGCACAATTTTTTTCAAGTATTCCCTTATAATGTCTTTGGGCATACTTTATGTTTAAAGGAAAGTCATAACATGCTGACCATTTGACAATCAGCAAGAACTTCCCAAAGAACAATCCTTGGAACACTAGTCCTTTTTAATGAAAAAACAGTAATTCTAAGCTGCCTTACAGAAAAGATATAAATTTTGTTTCGGACAGGCCAAAGAGGCAGCAGTCATCAGTCTATCCAAATTATGAAGGATAGTATCAGTAGGAATAAGAAACAAATTTTAAAACATTTCTAATTTTACATTTATGAAAGCTTTCCCTTAAATGTAAAATAAGCTAAATAATCAATACTTTTGTTTAAAACACATTACTTTATTAGGTTTTGAAGTTGTTAAATTTCACTTGGCCTTAATTTAAAATTTATAAGTGAGTTACAAAAATAAATCACTGCTAGGAACACGCAACTTTTCTCTACATTCAAACACGGATTCATCTATTAATGTGTAAGTTTTCTACTTTAAAGTAGAAAATTCCATGTACACACTCTTCTATGTACTGAATTTGTATATACTTGCAGATCCCTGAAACCCAGTGGGTTAAAACAATTTATTACCCTTCATGATTCTGTGGCTTGGTTTGGTTTGAGTGAGGCTCAACTAGCCTTGCTGAGATGTTCCAGGAGATAGCAGTCAGATGGTACCTGGAGGTAAATCCTCTGGTAGCTCCTCCAGTGTGTTTAGAAAGCTGGATCTTTCTCCCTCTCTTTATACTCGGAGCATTTCTATGTGGTTTCTTCAGCAAGATAGCTGGACCTTTTCCATAGTGGCCCAAAATTCCACCAAAAAAGGCCACATTATGACTTTTGTAGACCCGAGGCACTTTTGCTTTGTGGGACCCTTCTTCCATTAAAAAGATAATAAATAAAAGTTAAAAATACGTTATTACTATATCCACATAAAATGAATAGATTAACATCTTTAGACTTAGAAATCCAGCTTTTTCTTCTAGTTTTAAAGAAAGTTGAACTTTGTTATGGATCATGAAAGTATCATAGACCTTAAGCATTACTGTACCTAACAGTCCTGGCTGCCAGCTTTCTGTTACAAAAAGGTTTAAATCAAGGCAAGAGAAGGCTTAAGAGGGGTTACACAGAGCATAAATACTGGAGATTAGGGGCCATTATGGTTCCCTTTAGAGATAAGTTATCTTTTTTTTATCAGAATACAATGGTACTGTATTCAACCTGATTGCTGAATCACTGCTTTGTAGAAATAAGAGCAGAGTATTCTCTCTCCATCTCTTTTTTTTTTTAATGTAAGTAGGAGAAGGAAGATTTACCAGCAGGCTCACTGGGCTATGAACTGAATTTACAGTGAGCAGTGACATTTATTTATTCTCTGATAGTTTCCCTGAGTATTATTTTTTGTTTGTTTGGGGATTTCTGCAATTGCTTTGCTTTCACTTGGTCTTCATATTTACTTTTTTTTTCATTTTCTTTTTTTTTTAAGGAAAGTCAGAAAAACATCAGTAACCTGGGTGTTGGTCAGTCTGTGTTTGTCAATGTTGATTTTCAACCTCCTCTTTGTGTTTGGAATTGAAAACTCCAATAAGAACTTGAAGACAACTGACAGTAATGGCGCTATTAACTCTGCTAACAATGAAATACCTGTAAGAGACACTATTGAAACCCCAAATCCCTCGTGCACTGTGGTTACTGCCTTGCTGCACTACTTTCTGTTGGTGACATTTACCTGGAATGGACTCAGTGCTGCCCAGCTCTATTTCCTTTTGATTAGAACCATGAAGCCACTGCCTTCACATTTCATTATTTTCATCTCATTAATTGGATGGGGTAAGTGTTTGCTTTGACACTTATTCAGGAACTTAATTTCATTGCAGTTGTTTAAATGAACACTGATCAAAGGGTTAACCAGTAGTACAACACTTTGAGGTGGGAAAAATAATTGTTTCTGCCTAGCTTATTCTCCAGTGAAGGATCAAGGCAGGTATACTGAATACAGTATGAGATGACTTAAAGAGGCTAATTTTTAAAACATCTCTTTATTTATCCTAGATTTAGATCATGAGTATTTAATCTCCTAGATACTTTAATAGAAATGTTTTGAGAAAAGTACTTGCATGACTGTTAGTAAAATTTCTTGAAAATTATACTGGGTACCAGCAAAGACAAAAGGAACAATTGTCTTAGTGATACTCAAATTTAAATTTACTCAAATGAAAGAGGAATTCAGTTATTTAATGATGAAAATTATGATGAGGTCCAAGGAAATGAGAAACAGTATTAAGATTTGTATATAGAGACAATCAATGAAAAAATAAAAAGAGAACAGAAAAGTTCTGCTTTCGATCTACTTTTGTTGATCAGTTTGTGTATTGTCCATAGAGGAAAAATAATACATCTGAAAAGGTCAGATGTATAATTTATTCATAGTCTTTTATACTTAATCTCCAACTTGGATAAATTATTAACTCCTTGCTTCTCTTCATCACACAGGAGCCCCAGCTATAGTGGTAGGTGTAACAGTGGGAATTATATATGCTCAGAGTGAGACCAAGTCATACTGGGAGTTAGACTATCGGCAGGAGGAAATGTAAGTTTACATTTTTAACATAAAAATTTTACTACTTTGACATGAAAGTTTTACTACTCACTGACCTTGGCTTCAATTGTCTCTATGTATATGAATTTTACTTTAGAATTGTCGTGTTAATAGGTGTTTTAATTTTTTAAAATAAATATTATATTTTAAATATGGTGACATGGAAGGAAATTACCTTTGATAAACCCTGAAAAGGAAGCATCTAGCAGAACTCTCATATTAAAATTATATACTATTACTAAGTCAGAAAATCATATAACATAATAGTTATGATCCTTAAAAATTCTTTGTTTTAGTTCCCTCATCTAGAGAGTGGATAACAATAATGGTAATACTTCCTATTGGATTATTGGGGTGGGTTGATGTCAAGAAAGCATGAAAACAGGTAATATCAATCAGAGAGCACATCAATATGTCCCAGTCAGATAAACTAATTCCATGTTTACATGATTAAAATGAATAGTTCATGGTGATGTATCACATACAACAAATTTTTCCAGCATGAATAATTAACTGTTAGTTTTGGAAGTACCTGACTGCATAGTGTTTGCTTTTTATGTGGGGAAGAAGAAAGATGAGGTGAGCTGAGCTGAACTAAGTTTCAATACTTCACATATTTTTACTACCAGGCAGCAGCTGCTCTTAACTTATCTTTCCTTCTCTTGTACAACCCAACTATTCTTATCACCAGATTCTACCTAAGGTCTTAAACCAACCCAAGTGGAAGCCAAATTCTGGTAAAGGAGGGCTATGGTGTAAGGGGAGTCACCTGATCATGCCAGCTCTATAGACAGGGGGCTGACTGCCTGCCTGGATTTCATACTCCAAACTCTGTTTAATTGGGTTTTAATATCTTTTTTGAATTAATATTTTTAATTTAACAATTAGATACTTTATGAGTTAGGTAATTTGCTTTTATACCATTATTTTCTTACCTTAACCTAGGCACAGAGCTAGACCCATTTCTATAAAAGCCTTCATGAGAAAAGCCATTTTGCTTAAGTTTATTCACACTGAGCTATCAATAATGAAAAGCAGATTCCTTCCTTAGGACAGCATTAGATGCTGAGAACAACACTGTACCACTGATAGTAAGAGCAGATGGAAAAAGAGGAAAGGATGTGTAACGTGATCATCTAGTTCATCTCAGGGCCTTGTCCCACTACCTTCCAACATATACACATGGTATCAAGGGTCATATTTCTTCAGGATATATTGAGAAACGGGAGGGATTATTGTGTTTTTCCTAAGTTATCCTTCTACTAATGCCTCCTAAATCACTCACCCCAGTTCTGCTTTTCTGACCTGAGAGCCCTGACCCAGCTCCCTGAGCTGTTATCTCTACTGGCCCTGGTTAAGGAGTGAATACAGAGCAGGCCACACTCCTCTAAATGCTCTACTTCAGTTCTCTACACTATCATGAGATAGGCTGTACCATACTTTCCTATAAGGAAAAGATTGGAATTAACCATAGGACTTACAACTTTCTAGTTTTAATTTTTTTAAGTGTGTGCTATAGAGGTAAAATTGATCTTTCTCATCATGGCAAAATCGTCCAAGTGTTTAATACATTTGAGGCCCAAAAAGGATGCTCACTAGACCACTTGTCTTTATTTATCGTGATAGTCTCCATCCTGTGGCCTTCCTATCTCATTCCTAGAAATTCTACTCTGTAACTATAAAAGTTAGCCTCACTAGGATCCATACTCCTACTCAGCAGTCTGTGTCTCAAAATGTGAGTCATGTGATTCAGAATAACAAATAGAAAGGGTGTTGTGAGAACAAAACTAGTAGGGTACCTCTTGTACCAATTATGGTTTCCCCCTCTACTATGTATTTTCTGATGGACACTGGGATCCAAGTGCATGTGTCTTCCAGGTCTCTGCATCACTGTGTCACTGCTGAATCTTAACAAATATCTGCATCCATGTACACACACAGTAGTACAAATGATAATTCTCCTAACTTGCATTATCAAGTCTAAAATAGCTCAACTCATATAAATATTTGTCTAACTGCTTCATGACAGATTTCAGGAATAATTGATTTAAATTCTTAATCAAGCTATTTCTTTGCCTCCAAATAGCCCATTCAGTGTGAACTCCATAACAGATTTACCCATCGATGAAATTAGTGCTCTCATAATCCAGTCACTCACTATGTACGCCAGGCTGGCCCTGAACTCATAAAGATCCACCTGCCTCTGCCTTCCAAGTACTGAGTTTATAAATGTGTGCCACCACATCTGATCTTTCTTACTCTTAAATAATCTGCAGTCAGACAATTACTGCACATCTCTTCTATTGCACGCTACTTGCCTTATCACACTAAATTATAAAAGACTCTGTTCTGGTTTCTTCATTGCTGTGACAAAACATTCTGACCAATACCAACTTGGGGAGGAAAGGATTTATTTAGCTTACATATCCCAGGTCACAGTTCATCTGGGAGCCCAAGGTAAGAACTCAGGGCAGGAACCTGGAGGCAGGAGCTGGAGCATAGGCCATGGAGGAACGCTGCTTACTGGCTTGCTCCCCTGGCCCCTGTTCAGCCTGCTTTCTTATGCAACATAGGCCCCACTGCCCAGGGGTGGCACCACCCACAGTGGGCTGGGCCCTTTCCACGTCACTCATCAAAAAGATGCCCCTCAGACATGGCCACAGGCCAGTCCAATAGAGGAAATTCCCGAATTGAGGCTCCCTCAACCCAGGTATGTCAAGTTGACACTAAAGCTGTCCAGCACAGACTCCTAGATGGTTTTCTACTTTTGCTCATGTCCTCTCCCTTGACTGCATCTGGAATAAAACTTGGGTGGAAAGATTGTAAGAGGCAAGGAGGAGGTGCATAACCATATGGAAATAGAGTCCTACAAGCTCCTGTGACCTTGCTCATAGGAACTTACAGCAATGGTGTCAACATGCACAGGACCCATTAAAACTCAAGTAGACAAAACTTTTAAATCTCAAAGCAGACCATTCTGTATCTCCACTTCACCCAGAATACAAACAACTGCCTACAAAGCTCCTATGTTGTTTGCATTTTTGCACAGATTTAATCACTTTCTCATTCGAGCCACTCTACATTAGCCTCTTTGTGAAGTGTCACCTCAAACCTTTGGACTTATGTAATCTCAGCCTTTTTGTGAAACGTCACCTCAGACCTTTGGACTTGATGTAATCTCTGCTTGAATACTTTCCCCTTCATCTACATCAAGTCTATGCTTGAGCATCTCTTTCTTTTTCTATGAGACTTTCTTCAACCACTCTATTTAAACTGAAGCACTCTCCCCTGCATATACATATGTACAGGAATTTCTACACAGTCATTACTCACTTTGTTTTTAATCTAGAACATTTGTCAGCATCTGACATACTACAAATCTTATTTTCTGTCTTATCTACATTTCTGAATTAAAATATTAGCTTATTAACTTATGCCGTTTTGTTTTGTTCACTGATAATTCATGTCTAAAATGCTGCCTGGCACACAGCATTCTCTGTAAATATTTGTTAAATAAAGAAAGTAATTTTTTCATTTATGCCATGAAGAGGTCACATCACTTAAGATGAGAAAAGATGAGGAAAAAAATCTACAAAAACAAAACATGGGGAGAACAAAACATTAAACAAAACTACATAAAACAAAGCTCATGAAGTCAAATAACTTTTTAAAAATTTGTTTTTAACTATTAATCTTTAAATGTGTCTATCAAGTGGCTGAGGGTTTGGCTCAGTTGATAGAGTAACTGCCATGCAAACATCGAGGACCTGTGTTTGATATTCAGCACCCAGGTAAAAAGGCAGGCATGGTGGTGCGAGTTTGTAATCCTAGTACTGGGAAGCAGAGACAGGCAGATCCCTGAGACTTGCTGGCCAGCAGCCTAACTCAGTAAGAAACTGTTTAAGTACATTATGGAATATCAAAGTAGTGGAGTAATATGTAGCTCTAAAATTGAGGGTATTTTTTATATTCTGTGATAGTTCTCCAAGACAAGTTAATTGAATTTATTGAATAGTGCCATTTGTTTCCAATTCTTTTTTAAATGCCTTTACTGATGTTTGCAAAGTTTAAGTCTGTAAGGATACATCAGAAACATTGATTAAAATTGGGGATGGAGGCAGAAAGTCTCAGGTAGCTATAGGAGATCTTGTCCTGCTATACATGTATCTCTCATATTTTGAGCCAGAATAAGCTACATATGCAAAAGTAAAACAAAAAAGATAACTAGTCTTGGGGCTGGAGAGATGGCTCAGCAGTTAAGAGCACTGACTGCTCTTGCAGAGGACCCAGGTTCGATTCCCAGTACCCACATGGCAGCTACGAACTGTCCTTAACTCCAGTTCCAGGGGAATCTGTAGCCCTCTTCTGACCTCCGTGGATTGCACGACATGGGTGCACTCACACACATGCAGGCAATACACTCATACACATAAAATTAAAAAATAATAATAAAATAAAATAAAGAAAAAATGATAACTCATCTAAAGTAAGACACTTATAAATGACAGGAAACAACACTCAAGATTGTTTGTTTGGGGGTGCAACTCAGGAGAAAAGCTGTTACTTTGCATGCCTGAAATTCTGGGTTTGATTTCTAACAAATTGAAAACAATATCAATAATAACAACGGTAAGTAATAAGGACTGACCCAAAAGCCAATATTCTTTCTGCTAGCCCATACTGTTTCATAGAGAATATGGCAGAACCAACCCACTTTACTTTTCTAATGGGCTGAATTCTTGAAACTGATCTTAAATGTGTAAGATGCCAAGGCATATGGGCTATTAGTAGGCATTTCAGTTTTGTGAATGCCAATAATGTTAAAAGTACAAGGAACAAGTATTTATACCTTTATTGGTCCATTGAAATAATTTGTTTCCCTTTACAGGTGCTGGCTGGCAATTCCAAATGGCAATAATTTTATAAAAAGCCCATTTCTGTGGTCATTCATCATCCCTGTAACCATTATCCTCATCACCAATATTGTCATACTTATCATAATCACAGTCAAAGTGCTATGGAAGAATAACCAGAATTTGACAAGGTAAGACCCCCCAGGCATGGGGAGCTGCCAGGCAAGACCAATCCACATGTAATACAGTACTATACTATGTCCATAACCCTTACAGGAATTCTCGAACTCTGACACAAAGGCATGGGCATGTGGTATTTGGGAGAGATTCTCTAAAGGGGACCTGCGTACATTCTCTTCTAATCTCTGTAGTTTATTGCAGTACACTATATTACATGACATGCTTCTGCATCCAAACTAAACCTGAAACAATGAACTACACTAATTTAAAAAAATTCTTTTTAAGCATTGACCTTTAAAAATGTCTATCAAGGGAAAGGCTGAGGCTTTAGTTCAGGTGGTAAAGTGCTTGCCATGCAAACATAAAGACCTGAGTTTGATACCTAGCACCCAGGTAAAAAGGCAGGCATGGTGGTGCAAGCCTAAATAAAAGTGAAAACTGAAAATTTCAAGAAAAATATTTTCTCTTCTAATCTCAAATATTCAGGAAACAAAATTGAATAATTGAAGACATGAGAGGGATGTGATGAGAAGCTGGCACTTGAATTTTGTGCACGGTGCTTGAGTTACACAGTAGCTTTAAACTTCTCAAAATTCACTGTAAATATATATAATTGGGAGACTTCACTTACGGATTTTCTCTTGAAAAACCTTCAACCATCTGGCAGCACTGAGGCAACATTCCCTGTTAAGGGCTATGCTCTCTGGTTTACCAGTTCCCACTCAGGGCTCCACTTCTTACTATAGCTTTTCTGGCCCCCATAAGCATTCTCATGTTGCTTCTAACATAAAATAAGAGCTTTGGGTTTGATAAAGAACAGAAACCACTGAACATATATGTACAGCGACCTCCCACCCCATGCCCACAGCACAAACTGGTCAGAATACTGAAGATGAAGCTATGAGCTCAGATTGAATTCTGCAAGACTCTGGTCATTCCAAATATGCTTACCAAAAGAACACCTGTGAACTTACAGTAAGCTCACAAATGGATATATTTAATGATAATATAAAATAATCTTAAGTATGTGCTTTACAAATCAAAGTATCATATTACCTGTATGGATAACAGTTCTTATTTGAGGGAAATATGGGGAAAATAACATACCACTGAACATTAAAGTCTGTGTTTTAACAGCAGTGAAAAAAAAATGGTGATGATTACATAGCTCAATAGTGAAAGATGAATCAGGTCAATAGGGAGAAAGTACCAGGACACAGATAAAACTCTGGCTGGATAGGGTTTATTAGCAGGGGAAATTCACACAGGACAATTCCCTTCAGGATAGGGAAATTGTCAGCCCACGAGTTGTGGGCTGGGGTTTTTATAAGGGGGATTTGAGGGGGATGCAGAAGGTAGGAAGATATTTTTTAAAAATTAGGCAGGAGAGCTGGAGCCCAGGGCTTATCAGAACAGCTTCTGTTAAAACCGCCCCTTTCCATTCCTCATCCAGGATCTGGGTCAAAAGGTGTCTGTTTGCCCTTTAAGATCATCATAGAGGAAGCATGCTGTGCTGAAGTGACTCTTTGCAGTAATAGGTCCTCTGGTCAAAAGGTGGAGTCTGTTTATCTTGTCTTCAAAGACCAGGGTGCTCATTAACTCAGTTCCTGCATTCTCAGGGGCTTGCAAAACCATGAGGCCCTGTTGGGGAGAGGGCTGCTGCAGATCCAAACCCTAATATTCCAGCCTTTTGTATTATAGGATAGGGGGCGCCATTGTCTTCTTGCTACTTCCTGCTGGGCAAGGTCAATGTGGGGGCGCTGGATTAAGGGTCTGTCAGACAGTAGGGGTTCCCTCCTTGTGCATCTGAACAGGGTCCTTGATGGTTGACAGGTGCTCGTATACATGTGGAGGGAAGGAAAGTAACAACTGATAAAATTAGCATGAGTTAGTTTTTGGATTCGGTCCTTAAAATATCTGAAGAGGCAAGGAGCAATGGTTAGCACCAAGGTAGCAGAAAGTAGGGAGCCCAGTAAGGGAAGAAGCCAGGGAGTTAATCCTGTAAAAATATCCCATTGAGGTGACTGCTGGCACTGGGAATTCTTCAGTGAAAGATCTTTGGCTTCCTACTGAAGCCGTTTTATGTCATGTTCAACCTTACCCTATTGGGTGACAAAATAGCAGCACTCTTCACCCAAGAAAATACAGGTTCCCCACTTTTCTGCAGTTAATAGATCCAGGGCTTGCCTGCTCTGGAGGGAAACTTTGGCTAGAGAGGATAGTTGCTGTTGTAGGATCTGCATTGACTGGGCTGTAGTTTCCACTGTTGAGGTGAGTTTCCATCTGAGGTCCTCTATTTCCTGGGAGAGATGCTGGGTTGAGATCAGCATGTGTCCCAAACCTCTGGCCCCCAAGTTCAGCAGCTGCTACTGATGTCACCAGGCTAATTCCTACTAGGACTGCCAAGGTGGCTGATCTCCTTGTTCTGGTCACTTCTTTCCCTGTGGATAAGACATCATACACCTCTCCTGGTGTGTATAGGGTTAGTTTGGGTATGAGAATGACTGGAGAGCAGGTGTCTTCAATCTGTAGAGAGATGCAAGAGTATACTTTGGAGGAACAGAGAAAGAGTAGTCCCGAGGTTAAAGCAGTATTGTTCTTAGTTTTGACATTGTGGCTTGATGAGTGTGGGCATTTGGATGTTTGTGGAGTCCATCACTCCATTTTGTTAAAAAGGGGAGGGGCAGGCAGGGGTCATTGTATTAGGGTTTCCTGGGAACATTGAGTATTAGCCTGGGAAGTAACATTGTAAATAGAGAGGGGGATGAGAAGTGCACCCTATAGGGGGGCACAGAGGAAGCAAGTGGACACATTAACATGAGAGAAATTTCTCAGGAGATTTAGTGATAGAATGAGAACACGATCCCAGGAGAAGCTGCAGGAAGCATTGAGGTGTTGGAGCTGTTTCATTGTCAGGTCCCTTGCCTGATCCAGGACTTCCATGGCCCATTGGGGCCATTAGTCCTAGACAGTCTTTTTTATCTTTACTCACCAGTGGTCTATGGCAGCAACTGTGTATTGGATCCCTGCTGTAGCAATGCAGGACCCCGTTGGAGTGAAAGTTGAACTTCCATCCACAAACTAAGTCAGGGTTGGGTTTGGTAGGGGATCTTGGGAAATGAGGAGATTCTGGTAGGAGAGTTACTGAAGAGTTTCCAAGCACGAGTGAATGAGCGGTTCACTGGAAGGGAGGAGGGAAGTGGATTGAAAGGAGGGCATGAGTCAAGGGTGAGTGAGGGGTTTTCAAGAAATGTGACATGGAAGAGTTGTATTTTAGAGGGAGCTACATTGGCAAGAGACGTGTGGGTTAGTAAATCCTTAAGCCGATGGGGGAAAAGGACAGAGATGGGCTGACCCAAAGTAAGCTTAAATCCATTGCGGTGAGTGTGATTGGGTATTGGGGCCCATTTGGAAATAGGGAGAGATCCTTTAAGAAAATGCAGAGAGGAGTGTGATGAGAGGACAGTCTTGGGGCTGAGATGTCCCAGACCTTGGGATTTACTTTGGAAGCTGGAAGTGGCCATGACCTGGCTTGGGGGGGGGGAGTACCAGAGAAAGGAGGAAGAGTGTGGAGAAGGGGAGAGAAATAGACAGGGAGGGCTTTTGTTCTCTGCCAAGTAAGGAAGTTGGGCAGGTGGGCATGACCAGGAAAGAATGAGTTAAAGGCACCTTCCAGAATACACAGGATAAGAATCCTGTCAATTTGGGGTTGTGGGGCTTCCCAGATCTCTTCCCAGAGATCTATGAGGGAAAAACCTTGCCAGAGTAGGAAGGGAGAACAGACCATGACATACCAGTGTTGAGAACAAAATTAAGTCTTACCTGCCACCATGGCTGGTACCCTGGGGCTCCTCCATAGTGATGGTTATGGAATCAGTGGGGGCCAAGAAGCCAGGGCCTCACCAGCCTTCATCCACCAGGCCCAGAATGTTGTTCACTGAACCCTGTAAAGCAGGCTGGGTCTAGGAGGTGAGTGCCCTACCTTGGTGCTGCAAAAAAGAGCAATTGACTCCAGTGACCTCATTGCCCACATTGAGGACAGGGACCAGGAGGTGGTCATGGGTTAGGACATTGCCTTACCCAGTGGCCAGTGGCTCTGCTCTTAAAGCAGGGTCCTAGCAGATGTTGTTAGACCCCGTTAGTGTCTGTAGTCTTCTTTGGAGGAGCCCTTAGGACTGCAGCCATCAGCTGTTATGTTAGTTTGGACAAAGCGAGCTTGTCTGCCTTCTCCTGTTCCTCTTGGTTATTAAAGATTTTAAATGCCATGTCTAACAGACCTCCCATGGGGGTTTTAGGGCCCTTGTCTAAGCATTTAAGTTTCCTCCTGATATCTGGAGCTGATTGTAAGATGAAGTGGTGGTGGAGCCTAAGTAGGAGGTGTTTGTTAAGGAGTTGTTTAAGATTGCGAATTTCCTCAAGTAGGGTTAGTGGAGGGAGAGGGTGTGACAGACTTAGAGCACTGGAGAGGGGAGGGGGAAGATCATGGAGAGGGAGTTCGAGGTGGAGAAGGGAGGGGAGCTGGGTTGGGCTCTGAGAGGGAAGGCAAGGGAGGGTATAGCAAGGGGAGAGCAGGCAGAGGATTTGGCTGTGCCTCAGGCTGGGGAGCAGGAGGAGGTAGAGGTTGGGTCCTAATTGGAGGGAGTGCATCAACTATGTTAGGGTCAAAGGTTGAGGTGGAGGGGTAAGGGAGGGGCAGAGGCCCTGGTGGTTGGGATCCCATGAAACTGTCTTAGCAAGGAGAACCTGGCAGGAAGAACACGAGACACAGAGGGAAGGGTTAGCACAGAGATCAAAGAAAGCCTGGACATGTGGGAGCTCAGACCCTTTGCCATTATGATGGCAGAAATTATCTAAATCTCTCAAAATATTGAGTTCGAAGGTTCTGGTGTCAGGCCACACAGAGTCATTATCTAACTCATACTGAGGCCAGGCAGTGGTGCACAGGAACTTCAGGCACTTTGGCCCCATTGTATCTGAAAGTCCTATGTGTTTTAAGGATTTAAGAAGACAAGCAAGAGGTGTGAGACCCTGAGACTTGGACTGAGTGGTTCCCATAGTGACAGATTATGTACAGAGTGAAGAGGAAATACCGAAGGAACTGAGCAGGCAGGTAGAGACAAAGAGAATCCTCTCTCCACAGGGAATGGAGGCAGGATCATGAGTCTGGGCAGGAAAGTGCAGGAAGAGAGAGAGAAGAAGGAAGAGAGAGATGGGGAGGGAGTAGGAGTAGGTTTGGCATAGGTCGTGCAAAACAAGAAAGAGCAGAACCAGTCACCAAGGAAAGCATCCTCTCCTGGCATGGGTCCAAGTTATTTCCAGGTCCCTGAAGGTGGTGTTCCACAATCAGATTGTTTGAGAGGGGAAAGACGAGGCCCTGCCCTGGAGGGAAGGAGTGTGTGTTCCTTTCTCTGGGAATAGCGTTCAATACCCAGAGTGAGGAAAAAGTTTTCGGACACACCAGTGTAATTTTTGAGGCAAGCAAGACAAGCAGAAAACTTTGCAATGAGAGCATAATGGGATCAGCCAGTAGATGGAGACAAAGTACAAGGAATGGGATGGGAGAAAAGACAGAAAAAACACAGGGAGCCAGGAGGGAGGGAAGCTTGTGGAACGAGGTCGAAATAGAAATGGAGAGATAGTGAGCGAGCAGAAGAGAGGGAGCGAGAGTCTGAGGTTTAGTAGAAGCTGAGGGAAGATGAGCCCCAGAAGGGCAGGAGTGAGGGGGGGGGAGCAAAAATGAAGATGGGATGTTGGGAGCTAGGAAAAGGAGAGAAAGAGGGAGGGAACAGAGGGAGCGTGAGGAAAAGGAGAAGAACAGAGGTAGAACAGAGAGACTCTGGTCCATGGAGACAAAGCTCAACACCAAATAAGACAATCCCTGTGGAGGAAATAAACTGCTTAGGTCACTGGGACCCCCAGTCGCAACAGGCAGCTGGCAACCCTTTATAACAGGCTGGGAGGGGCTTGTGTTCCTTTGGGAGAGCTAGCTCATGGACCAAAAGACTCCCAGATAAAGGATTTGAGTGCAAGGTGGGCTTAGGCAGACACAGTAACCGTGCCAGACACTCAGTGGTTGCAGAGACCAGTGCCGCCCAGTGGCCTTGAGTTGGGTCCGGGAGTGACCGAATTCAATCAGAAAGGAGATCAAAAAGATGTAGGCGAGTCGGAAAGAAGTAAAAGCAAGGCAGAGTACACTCCCAGTGAAAGGCAGTTTAGAGAGAGAAGGCAGAGAAAAGGAGAAAAGAAGGGTTGGAGTGTACTTTAAAGCCAAACCAGTGGTATTTTTTAGAGGCCAGTAACGGCAACCAGGTCCAGTCGGAGGTTTTTACATGTACTTTCGAAAAGATCAAAGGTCCCTTGAGGTCAGAACCCGGTTTTGGCACCATATGATAGAAGAATCGGGTCAATTGGCAGAAAACACCAGGACACAGATAAAACTCCAGAAGGATAGAGTTTATTAGCAGAGGAAACTCACACAGAACAATTCCCTTTGGGATAGGGAAATTGTCAGCCCGTGGGTTGTGGTTTGGGGTTTTTATAAGGGGGTTTTGGAGGGATGCAGAAGGCAGGAAGAGTCAAATGCCGACAGATGATCTAGGATAACCTCCTTTCCTATGTGATGGTTGGACAGAGATGCCTCTGGGCATGCTCACTTTGCACCATGAGGTTTAACTGAAAATACAGGAAAGGGTATTTTGAAAGTGCATTAACACGGGAGTCTGCCCTTGAAGGTGCCTGCCTTGTTCAGTCACAAACACTATCCGGATCAGCAAGAGCAATAAGAGATGTCAAACTCCATGAGAAAATGTTATCCAGTCTCTGACTTGTGACAACTGTTACCATTCCCGTGGCCAAAATAAGTCACAGAGCCAAGACCAGATTCTGGGGATTAGGATCCCCATAAGAGAAAAAGACAGTCCAGCTCTAAATACCTAATTTCTCATACCAGCCCCCAAGGCACAAGAAGTTCCCAGGTACCCCAGTCTACCCATAAAAAAGGAATTCTCTAGATGATCTCATGGTAATAATCAGTTCTTAAAAGAAAGTTGATACCTCATGAAATTGCCTGCAGTATTATTAAAGGAATGATTTTGACTGAGCTTTGACATAGATATTAAGGTATTTTTAAAAATAACTTGTTGAATCATATTTTCTCCAGTGATTTAAGATGTAGCAACATTGCTGTTCCATATGAGGTATAGCACTGTTAAGTATGAAATAGGTAGGTATAAGGGTAGCTGAGCATACAAGGGTAGTAAAGATATTAATAAGTAGAAGGTGAATAAGGGGGTATTTGTTATGTATGTTATTCATGAATGTCACTCGATACTGCATTCCATTTTCATATCAGATTGCAGTCCCTTATAATTATTTGTATTATGTGCCAAAAGAATCAACATATGATTTCTTATGTAGTCCAAATAAAATGAAATTATTTCCTGAAAAAAAATAAGTTAAAAACCCAATGAACCATATGTTTTTTCTTATTTTCTCTTCTGCAGCACAAAAAAGATTTCATCTGTAAAGAAGATTCTTAGCACATTATCTGTTGCTGTTATTTTTGGAGTTACCTGGATTTTGGCATACTTTATGCTAATTGATAACAATGATGTCAGAACCATTTTCAGCTACATATTCTGCCTTTTCAACACTACTCAGGTATGGGAGAGATAGTCTGAAAGTCACAGAACACAGAGAAGTGTAGATAAAATCACCCTGGACCAAAGTTTCCTTCTTTTCAAACTCCCTGAAGATCACTGTTCAGTCACCTTTAGGAAACTCTAATTTCAATGTACTTTAAGAGAAGAACAAAAGCACTCTGTGTCCTTTTCTGGCCTGGAGGTCACAGAAGATTGCCACAGGGTTGGCACATTCATCCCTCTTCTCCAAATAGAAGATATTTTATCAGGCAGCTGGCTCACAGAGCACCACCTTTCCCTTCCTCCCATGCAGCAAATTCACAGGAGAGCCTCACTGTGCTTGATAAGCAGTGTCAGTTATTGATAGAACTTGCGACTCGTGTGTTTGCTGATTTTTTTTTCTTTTGAATTTTTAAGACATTTAGACACAGCACTTGCACTACCTTGGTAAGCAAAATATTTATTATTGAAAACACTGAATATTCTGTAGTTAGATATAGAGTTCTAAAAATAGCATTAAAGATGAAGCCAGTTCGTACATCAGAAATTTTCTGTTCTTACCCATATTTTTATCTAGCTCTTTCAATTGCTTAGTGAAGAGTGTCAAAAATCTCCATCTAGGACTTTGAATGTGACTGAATAAGTACTCACACAGCATTCATACTCATAATATACAATTATGATTTTCATATTTTCTAGATAAATTGGCCCTTCCATAATTTACATGAAAAGGTCTTTTTATTAATGATAGTATTTTTGGCATCAAATATAATTTATCCGTTACCTATCCTTGCTATCATCTACATATGTGTATATATATATATATACATGTATAGATGATATATATTATATAAATGTTGTTTATATAATATGAACCTCTGTGCCTTTATACTTAAAAGTATTTATCATGTAGACAGCAAATATATCTACTTTGACAATCTCCATTTGTTTATAAGAATACGCAGTTCATTTAGATCTAATGTAGTCACTGATGCAGGCTACTATTTTACTATTTGTTTTCTGTGGTCATCTTTTTTATTCCCTTGCTCCTTTCCCCCTGCTTTTGAGAATAATAGATTTACTATTATGATTCCACTTTAATTCATACTTTAGTAATTAAGCAATACCTTTTTGCATGTGAGGATAGATTTATAGATATAGTACACACTAATAACTTTTCATAGTAAATTTAGAAATAATATTTTACAACACCCAATAAAATCAGTTTCATAATATGTCTGCTAGCCCCCTCTCTTTAATTATGGTGCAATTTTCTTTACATTTACATACATAATAAACCACACAAAGCAATATTATTTTTTCTTTAAACAGACATGTATTTTCAAGAAATTAAGAGGAAAGACTTTATATTCAACCATAAATCTACCATTTCCAGTGCTCCCACTTCCTTTCTGAAGATCTAACTTTCCATATAATATCATTTCCCTTCAGTCTAAAATCATTTGGTTTTTTTAACATTTTTTATTTTTACTTTATGTATATGAGTGTTTTGCCTACATGTATATAAGTACACCCATGTTATTCAATGCCTGTGGAGGTCAGAAGAGGGTGATAGATCTCCTGGAAGTGGAGTTATAGATGGTTGTTAGCTGCCATGTGGTTGCTGGGAGGGACTTGAACCTTGGCCCTTCACAGAGCAACCAGTGCTCTTAACCGTTGAGCAATCTCTCCAGCCCCTTAAACCATTTTTTAATATGCCTTTTGGTAACAAAGTATTTTCTTCTATCTAAAAACCTCTGTGGCTCTCATTTTTGAAGGATATTTTCTCTGGATATAGACTTCTGGGTTGACAGAGGCATTTTTTCCCCTCCTTTTAGCATTATGGAGAAGTAATTTAATACATAGCTACATTTCTAAATGAGGGCTCCTCAGCCATTCATGATAATGTTCTATGGCACAAGAATGAGTTCTTTTTCTGATTGCACTGGAATCTTCTCTTAAGCTTTAATGTTCAGTATTATGACTGTGACATATCTAGATACCATTTTATTTGCATCCATTTTGAGGGGGTTGCTGAACTTTTAGAATCTTTTAGTTTATGTTTTTCACCAAATTTTAGAAAATTTTCATCATTAGTTTTCAGATAGTTTTTCTGCCCCATTATTTTTCTTCTTTCTGGAATCTCATCACCTGGATGTTAGGTCATTTGATACTGCGCCATAGATTACTGAGATGTATTCACTTTCCTCATTCTTCTTGATAGTCACTACACTAGAAAAGTTTAGATTACTATCTTCAAAGTCATTTATTTTTCCCTAATTCTCTCTAGTCTCCTGTTAAGCTGATTTAGTACTATTATTTCAGATATTATGCTTATTTAGTTTAAGCACCTTGACCTGATTTTTAAAAATTCTGCTGACATTTCCTATTTTTTCACTCATTGCAAGCATAATTTCTTAGACTGGAGCACATTATAATAGTATTTTCAAATTGTGTCTGTTGAATGACATATGGGTTGGCCATTTAATCCAATCTCTATCACTGCCTTTTTCCCTTAAGATGGGTCATAAGCTCCTGTTTCTTGATATTTCTGGTAATTTTTATTGCTTTCTACACATTATATAATACAGTAGAGCAAATCTGCAGTTTGTTATATCCCTATCATAAATGGGCTTAGCAAATAATTAACTTAGTTGGACTAAAACTGAAAACTCGGTCTCCCTCTATACTTTATGACATTTATCAAATATGTTTATTCTAGGGTTTTTTTTTTAGTTTTTTGTGTGTATATGTATCTGTGTAAGTACATATGTATGGGTATGGTGTGTATGTGTGTGGTTCATGTGCATGTGTGTGCACAGAGGACAGAGGAGGATGTGGGTATTCTGCTCCATCACTCACTGCCTTACACCCTTGAGACAGGGCCTGTCACTGAAGTAGAAGTTAGTCTGGCCCCAGTGACACTCCTATCTCTGCCCTGTACCCCCAGCGCTGGGGTTATAAGCAAACATGGCCATGCTGAGCTGTTTTCAGGTTGTCAGGATCCAAATGAACCCAGAGCAGCAGGCATTTTTATTCACAGACCAGTCTCTCCAGCCCTAGGGTAGTGTGTGAGTGTGTGTGTGTGTGTGTGTGTGTGTGTGTGTGTGTGTGTATCGTCTTTCTGATCACTTTGTTTTTTACTTAACTCTTTTGAGCCCACAAATTTTGATTTTTCTTGATGATTTTCTTCATTAAAAAAAGAAAAACAGCTTCAAGCTATTTAATAAAATACCAGTTAAGAAAACTAGTTAGATGTAGTGGCACATGTCCTTAGTCTCAACACTTGGGAGGCTGAGGGCAGGAGGATCTTGAGTTTGAGAACAGTCTAGGTTACATAATGAGAAACTGTCTCAAAAAGAAGGAAAGGAAATGGGCCAATGAGATGGTTCAGCATGTAAAAGGCACTTGTCACCAAGCCCAAGGGCCTGAATTTGATCTCAGGAACCCACATGGTAAAGGAGTGAACTTCTGCAAGTTGGCCTCTGACCTCCATACACATGCATTTTCAATATATTTTAATTTCTATTAATTACCATCCTTGATTTTAGTGATTACTGTAATAAACTGTTTTCAGTTTCCAGAGTAAAGTAGTATGTGTTGATTTCCCAC